CCCAGCATCAGACCAGGGCTAGGGTTGCAGCTGCCAAGCGGAGGCCAGCAGGCTGCCAAACGGGTGCAGTCTGAGCCCAAGCAGGGCACACTGTTCCCTCTCACTGGCTGGCTACCAGCTGCCCCCGCTGTAGCAGACGCTACACACAAACGCTCTCTGTGTGAGGATTCATCTTCAGCCCAGCCCCCTCGCTGGAGAACCCTGAGCAGCCTGGCTCGGGAGGAGGCCTGGCAGCAAGGACTACCCCACTGGGAGCCAAGAGGGAACACTGGGCTAAGGGCCACTCAGGGCTGAATCCTGGCAGTTGATAGGCTCCTGGAGTCTGGACCAGAGATGTTCTTGAGGCTGGGAGTGCCCAGAGCTCTCTCCTGGTTTGGTAACCTGGAGCAGACCACTCCCCAACGCTAAACTAAGACCCCAAACGTCTAAGTCCAAGACCAACTCTTTCCACCAGAATCCCCAGCGAGGGCGACAGGGGGGACCAGCATCCACGTGTGGTGGGGCCAGGGAGTCTGACTCCAAAGAAGGCTCAGGCTTCCACTCACCTGAATGGCAGCCCAGGTGGGTCACCACGCGTCTCTTCTCCTCTCCCTGGCCTTCCAGAGGCACGATGCCCAGCACACCTGGTAAGCAAACAGACATGCGGCTGTGACCTCTGGTCTACTGGAGACCCCCTACCTCAGGCCCAAGTCCTAGAACCCTGATTCCTAGAGGAGACAAGCCCTGCCCCTAGACGGCCAGTAACATCTGGTCTCATCCCTGTGGACACAGCTGCCAGCCCCCAGTGAGGCCCTTGTTGTATGGAAGAATCTTCTATGAGCGCTGATGTACTGAAGACATCTAGGTGAGGTTATCTCTCAGTTGCATTGTGGCTCTCGAGAGGCCACCTGGTGATCACTTTTCCCAGGATGGAGGGGGGTGGTTTACCAGAAGCCAATACCCAGGACAGCAGAGCTGAGGGATAGAGCAAGAGGGGTTGTACTCTGGGAGTATACATCAGCCCCTGCATCTAGTCTTCCTAAAGCCCTGGACATGTCAATGCACCTATTCTTTGCTTAAGCTGGTAGGAAGTCTCAGTCTGCCTAACTAACCCAAGGCAGCTTCTCAAATCCTGTGATCCCATGCACCCAGCCTCCCACAGGCCCCAGACACTCCAGAACAGTCTTTCAGACCCCAGGAGTGGGCAGGAGGCGACACAAGGCCCTGACCCTCCTCAGACAGAGAGGTGTTAGTCTCTCTGCCCACCTCTCAGCCACACTTGTGCAAACCAGTCAACATGGCTGCTACAACTCCCCAGTCTAATATGCTTGCACGTTGCCTAGTTTTTTAGAGTTAAAAGCTCTGCCTGGCTACTCCTCTCTGAGCACCAGTGGAATCCTCCAAGTCCCGCACCTGTGAACAGCCTGGCTTCCTCCCCGCTCCATGTAAGGACACTTATGTCCTAGCCCCCCTACCTGGGAGGTCAGAGTTAAACGCGATCAAGCTGCAGCTCGATTTGATGTGGTTCCCGCACGAGGGGGCAGTTCCTGCTCGGATGTCACTGATCCAGGCCTGCCAATATGGAAGAAAAGTGGTGGTAAGGGTTCAGGTGGGGAGTAGGGAGCCAACTGCAGAACTCTGCCTTAAAGCTACACCATTAGAGATGCTTTTCTTTGGCTCAGACCCAGTCCATGGAGCGTGCTCACGGAATAACTTGCCTGGCTGCTGCAATCAGCAGCTGGGCAGTCAGCCCTGGACTCAAGGTGACTCTGTGTGTGACAGAGTGGAGTCACTCCACAGGGCTTTCTTGCATGTCATCTTTCAGGAAGGTGTCCCAGTAGAGCACTAGGTAAGACGTTTGGCTGCTAACAGAAAAGTTGGCCATTTGAACCCACCGGCCCTTCCAGAGAAAGCTGTGGCAGCTGCTTCTATAGACTCACAGCCGTGGGAACCTGAGAGGCAGCGCTCATCAGTACTATCTAGTTACCATGAGTCTGAATCCACAGCAGTGGGTCTGGAGGCCCTATGGAGGAAGCTAGCCAGGTCTTCCTTCCCCGGAGCCGACTGGTGTGTCCTACCAGTGTGCATCACTGAGGTTCCTCACCGGCATCACGAACAGGGTGAGTTTATATAGTAAGTTGGTTCCCTACACAGTGGGAGGAGGCAGTCAGGGGGACACTCAGACTGAGCAGAATCAATGGACCAATTGGACAGTGTGTGTGTGTGTGTGTGTGTGTGTGCGCGCACGTGTGTGGTAAGTTTACAAGTGTATGCGTGTTCTTGTTCACAAACAAACAAAATCACTCACTCCATTGAGTCAATGATGACTTATAGTGACCCTACCGGTCAGGGTCGAGACTGTAACCGTTTACGGGAATAGATGGCCTTATCTTTCTCCTGAGAAGCAACTGGTGGTTTTACAGGGCTGTCTTTGTGGTCAGCAGTCCGACTCACAGCCAATGGAAAGAGAAAAGCAAAGACAGACGTGAGGGCCAACAGAGAGAAAGACGGAGTTCTCCACTTGTTCAGCTATGCTGCTGCAGGGCACCCATACCGAGGAGGGTCCTCCCAGCATTGGGAGAAGGCGCCCAAGCCAGGCAAGGCACCTCCTGCACTGTCCACCTTGGGAGAACATGCTTTCCCAGGAAAGCCCTGTGTCGGGGGGCAGGGGGTGGGATGGGGGTGTCGGACAGCACACCCTCACCAGAAGGCGCTAACTCGGACATCCCTCTACCTAGGGGCATTTGCTCTGAAATGAAGCCCAACAAGATCTGCGCTTAGTTTCTATCGTCACTACCGCCTGATAGATTGAGCACCCACAGCAGCCAAGAGACATTGCAGCAAACTAAAGATCCTGTCTCACGGTTTTACCTGATACAGGTAGAGTGCTATTTCCCCATCTCAATTGATGGGCAGGAGCCCTGGTGGCATGGTGGTTAAGTCTTGGGCACCTAACTGTAAGACCGGCAGTGCCACACAACCAGCCACTCCGAAGGAGAAAGACAGGGCTTTCTACTCCCTGAGTAGAGGTATAGTCTCAGAAACTCACAGCGGCATTTCTACCGAGGCCTACAGTGCCCCTGTAAAGTGGCACAGACTTGATGGCAGTGAGTTTGATTTCAAAATTGGTGTGTAGAGTACAGTGACAGGAAGTACCGCTGCCAAGGACAGCTTACCTGGGACTCCGCCTCTCCAACTTAGACTGTCTTCCACATGTCTAGGCCTGCCCATGGGCCTTACTGAAATGCAGCCACCTGGGAGCAAGCCCCAGGTCTGTCGCCCCCACCCCCCCAACAAAGCGAGCAGCATCCATGCTGGTCTTCATGCACATCTGAGCACGTCCCTCTTCCGGCCCTGCAATGGCTCCCTGTCTCACTTAGAAAGAACTTATGGGGCGCTCAACTCTACGGGGCCAGCTTTGATCTCCACCACCCCCTTTCTCTGCTCCTGAGCTCGACATCAAGGGCTACTTTCGGTTCCTCCACCAGAGCCCCAAATCACTCCCCCTGCTCCAATTTCAGCCTCAGCTTCAATGTGACATGCTGGCCCCCCTTAGACCCTTTTTATTGTGATGATAACACTCCCCCCACATACCTCCTGTGTTTGTGTTTTTCTAAGCACTTTTCTTGTGGGGGTGGTGGTGAGGGGACTGTCAGTGAGACTAGAATGCAGAACATACACCAATCCAACGGTTTCTCCACGTACAATTTGGCGACACAGCTGACAGGCAGTTGGGCAATCATGCTCATTCTCCTTTCTGAGCTGTTCCTTCCCCCTGCCCCCACCCCAGTAACGCAAACTGCACTGAAACTCAGTGCACTTATTCACACTTGCGATCAACTTCAACATCTCTGTGCTTCTTTGGTGGTCTGCCACGGCCCCTAGCCCCCGCCCCCACCCCCACCCCCCTGAACTGTAGGGCTGCTAGGGTCACCCCATGGCTCCAGCAGTTGCTGTTGTTCGGTGTCCTCCACCTGGTTTTCGACCCTACTGTGGCAGAGCAGAAACGCTCCCAGAGAGTTTCTTGTCTCATGCTTTGGACATGCCATGGGGGAGACCAGTTCACTGGAGGAGGACACCATGCTTAATAGAAGGGCAACAAGAAAAGAGGCAGGCCCTCTCCGAGACACAGTGATACAGTGACTGCAACCACAGGCTCATGCATAGCCCTGGGTTTGAGGATGGTGCAGGGCTGGCAGTACCTAACCAACACCACCTTCCGGGGGGGTGGGGGGGTGGGGGGGGCAAATTGCCAACTCTTCCTTTCAAGGAGTCAGTGGAGGATAGGAACTTTGGGGTTAGCAGCTAAGCCACCAGGGCTCCCTGAGTATTGAACTTAGAGGGCACAGGGCAACAGTGTCAAGAGAATTTAGGGGAACCTCGGCCAGCCCCAGGCTACTCAGATAATTACTTGAGGTTAGTAGAGGCCCCACTACTCAGGGACACTCCCAAGCCCTGGGATGACACAACCCAGGGTGCTGCAAGCTGAGGCTGGCACACTCTCTGACACACGCCCTCCTCAGGTCGCCGCCCTCACCCCCAACCCCGGGTCTCAGGCGCCCCTCACTCTGTCTCCGGTGCCACCTGCCCCTGTTCCCAAGCCCCACCCAACACCCAGGCTGGCTGCACAGGAACCGCACGCAGAGCTTGGGACGAGCAAGCGCCAACCACGAAAGGAGGAAGCGCCTGCGGAAACCGAGGGAGGGGCTCCCCATCTCCGGCCCGGCACGCGCGGCCAACCAGGTCAGAGCAGAGAGGGACGTCCCGGGACACGGACCCCGGAGGCAGGGCGGAGGAGCTGGAGCCCAGTCTCGGCTCCCCGAGGGGCCCGACCGGAAGCCAGAACCCCTCTTAGGTCTCAGCCCGGAGGGATGCACCGGCTCAAAGGTCCCTGGGTGGGTGGTCTGAAGGGTGGGTATCCGGAACCCCCCACACACACCCGGCGGTGCATCACCACAACACCGGACTCTGCCCCCGGATGCTGGACTGCCGGACGTGGGCCGGGCCTGTAGGGGGCGCCCGGGAAACTGGGGGCTCACGGGGGTCGGCCTCCGGGGGATCCCCACGCAGGGGCCCCCGGGAGCGACAGGCCTGGCAGCGGGCGAGGACGCGGGCTTACCTCGCGGCGGGGCGGCCGAGCCTCGGTATGTCGAAACTTGGACACCTTGAAGCGATGCATGGCGGCGGCAAGAGCGGTGGCGACGGGCGCGGAGCCGGGCGGCGGCTCTCAGGTGCACAGCCAGCAATCCCTACTCCCGCCGCCTCTGGCCCCGCCCGCGGCCCGGGACCCGCACCAGCGCCACGCCCCACCGAGCCCCTGGCCAATCACAATAGCCGCCAGCCCGCCTGGCCACGCCTCCGAGTCAGTTCCTTCCGCGCGCGCGCCGTCGGCTCCGCCTGCAGACCAATCGCTGTCAGGCCGCCCCGGGAGGCCACGCCCAGACTCCGGGCGGGCGGGGCGGTCACGTGCACGCGGCTATCCGCCCACGGCCGCGGCGTGCGTGGGGGCTAGGCACGACAATGGGGGTTTTGTGTACCATCTCGTCCCCTTTAGCGCTGGGAGGCTTCCCATGTACAGGGCCCGTGCACAGGGCGCGCCCTTCCTTTCTCTCCCTCCCCAGGAAGCAGGAAGGGCAGACATTAGGTCCATTTCAGAGCCAGTAAACTGAGGCTCAGGAGCACGTCAGTGTCTGACGTCAGGCCTCGCCGCTAGAAGGGACAGGAGAAACAAGAGACCAAGTCAATGGATGCAAATAACTGTCCGTGGGACCTCTTGAAAGTTCTCTTCCCCCCCTGTACCCCACCTACCCTCCTTAGGCCAGGTGAGGTGGGTGTAGAACTGGGGGTACCCTCAGCACCCCCCTTACTGGGGCGTTGGACATGATAGGACAGGACTCCCTGAGAAGCTCTTGTGAGGTAATTTGTAGATAAGCTGTTAGAGCCATAGATAAGTGCTGGTCAACAACATATACCCCCGGGACTGACATTGCTGGGCTTGACTCACCAAGCCTAGGGAGACTGGGTTCTTAGTTCTACCCCCCAGGCCATTCATTCCACAAATGCTAGCTTTGAAAACGGATTCCACGATTCCAGAGTGTGCTTGCTGACACACAGACGCAACATCTGCTCAGGCTAGGCAAAGAAAAGGACTTTGATCTGAGGAATGGCAAGTATGGAGCAGCTGCAGTGTAATCCCTTTCCCTCAATCTAATGGGCGGGGCATCTTCTCTTGGGTGAGCTGACTCCAGGGTGGTTTTGAAAACGTTGCCTCCAGATGGGTCAGAGTGGGCCCCAATAGTTCTCACAGGCTAATTACAAGGGCTCAGTGGAACCCACCCACTAGCACCTACTAACAACAAAAGATTAATGGTAAAATTCTTACCTCCCATTTGGAAGAAACAAGCAAAACAAAACCCACTCCATAGAATCTCTTCCAACTCCCAGCAGCCCTATTCAGGATTTCCGAAGCTGTTAATCTGTACAGCTTCATTACTCTCCCATGGAGCGTCTAGTGGGTTTGAACTGCCAACGTTGCCCTTAACAGTCCAAGTGCTACCAGGGCTCCTCTCAACCAGGATACCCTAGTTCAATTCCCAGTCAATGTACCTCAAACCAGCACCCACCTGTCAGTGGATGTTTGCGTGTTCTAATGATGCTGAACCGGTTTCAACATAGCTTACACACTAAGAGGAGGAAAAAAGGCTTGGTAATCTCCTTTGGAAAATCAGTCAATGCAAACCCAAAGTATACTTTGCCAGTATCCCAATTCAAAGGCATTGATTCTTATTCAGATTTCCTTATTCAATGTTCAATTTTCATTCACAAAAGGATGAATGTTGTATAAGACCACTTTACAAAATATTAAGATAAACCTTATCAAATCAAAAGAAACAAACGTTGATGGTTACGAATGGTGGGAGAGGAAGGAAATGAAAGGGAAAGAATAGAGGGTTGTCCTGTTGTTAGGTGCCGTTGGGTGGATTCCAACCCAAAGTGACCCTAAGCACTAATATGTTGCCTTCAAGTTGATGTGGGTTCACAAAGACCCCATGTGCAAGAGAGTAGAACTGCTCTACAGAGTTTCCTTAGCTGGGTTGTAGGGGCTGAAACAAACCTGTGTCATCTAGTCAATTTGACCCATATCCACCCTATGGACAGAAGAACTGCCCCAGTGGGTTCCCAAGGATGTAAATCTTTCTGGGAACAGACAGCCTCCTCTTTCTTCTGAAGAATAGCTGGTAGGCGTAAGCTGCTGACCTTGTGGTTAACAGCCTAATGCATAGCCCACTACACTGGCAGGCTCCTCAAGACCCCAAACCCAAATTTAATTTACAGAGACACTTGTACTAAGACTTAAACAGGACAAAGACAAGACCAAGACAATTCATCTGGATGAGGGAGATCACCAGCATGAGGTCATTTGGTGTCCAAGGATTTACAGAGAGCCTGCAGCTTAAATAGGTGAATTTTACCAGGTGGTTCAATACATCACAGTCACAGGTAGAACTACAGAAGCAGGAATGAGACCATGACTGGGACATGTATATCATGCCAGACAGAAGAGCTAACGAGTTGGTTCAGGGCCCTCCGAAGAAGGGAGTCAGGGTGGGACTCCTGACCACGAGTCCCTCAAACTCAAACTCACTGCCTCGGGTGAATTTGATTCTCACTCAGACCCCTTTGAGTTTCTGAGACCACAGGAGTAGAAAGCCTGTTTTTCTCCTGAGGATCATCTGGTGCAGGGGACCTCAAACTTTTTAAACCAGGGTCCAGTTCACTGCCCCTCAGACCATTGCAGGGCCAGACTATAGTTTAAAAAAAACTATGAACAAATTCCTATGTCGGCTGCTAAGCAGGACAGGCAGTGGCGGCAAAAACACCGGTGGGTTGGATAGATGTCCTTGGCGGGCTGCATGTGGCCTGTGGGCTATAGTTTGAGGACCCCTGATCTGGTGTTTTTGAACGCTGACCTGCTGTTATCAGCCCAATGTGTAACCACCAAGCCACCAGGACTCTTCATGTGAACCAATACCCCAGTTTCCAACAAGGGCATACCCAGGCAGGTCTGTAACGCAGTGGTTCTCAACCTGTGGGTCACGAACCATTCACGGGGCTCACCTAAGACCATCAGAAAACACATATTTCTGATGGTTTTAGGAACCAAGGCGGGTCCACCCACATGCAGATACACCCACATAGGAGTACCCAGCATGAAGACTTACCCAGGCTATACCATTCTCTTTTTTTTTTTTAATTGGGGCTCATACAATTCATCACAATACATAGATCAATTGTGTAAAGCACATCTATACATTTGTTGCCCTCATCATTCCCAAAATTCGCTAGCCTCTAATTTGCTATACCATTCTTCAAGACAAAATTTCATTTATTTGTAATTAGAAATAAATATTTCACAATATATAATTACATAGTTTTTGTGATTAACCACTATGCTTTAACTATGTTCAATTTGTAACAATGAAAATACATCCTGCATATCAGATATTTACATAATGATTCATAACAGCAAAATTACAGTTATGAAGTAGCAACAAAAATAATTTTGTGGTTGGGGGTCACCACATGAGGAGCTATATTAAAGGGTCGAGGCATTAGGAAGGTTGAGAACCACTACTCTAAGGGCTAGACTGCCCCTCCCTGGGAGCAATACACTTTCAAACATATTCTGCCTGAGGGCAAAGCTATTTATGCTGCCAGTTAATGATTAGAAGAATTCAAGGAGTCCACATTTGCTTTTTTTTTTAACAATCATTTTATTGGGGCCTCTTACAGCTCTTATATAACAACCCATATACATCAATTGTATCAAGCATATTTGTACATATGTTGCCATCACTATTTTATAAACATTTAGTTTCTATTTAAGCCCTTGTTATCAGCTCCTCATTCCCCCCCTTCCACATTTGTGTAGATCTAGGATGTAGGGCTTTCACTGTATCCAAAACCTTCCACAAACTTAGTACTAAGAATTTTAAACTCGAGTACAGCTGTCATCTTAAAAAAGCAAATCACCAGGCCTTCTGCGGTACCACTTGGTAAATTTGAACCCCCAACCTTTACACTAGTAGCTGATCACAAACTGCTTGTTTCTTATGGGTGCCTGGTTCACATGGTGTTTTCAAACTTGGTATATTTAACCAAAACGTAGGAGCCCTGGTGGCATAGTGATTGCACATTGGGCTGCTAACTGCAAGGTAGAAACCGCCAGCTGCTCCAGAGGAGAAAGAGGAGGCTTTCTACGCCAGTAAGAGTGGCAGCCTCAGAGACCCACGGGCCACTTCTAACCTGTCCTATAAGGTCGCTATGAGTCAGAATCGACTCAAGGCAGCGAGTTTGATTTTGGCAATAAAAACTTGTATTTTGGCATCTCTTGGAGAACTGGACCCACAGGCATGGCTGGGGCTGGAGCCAAGTACCGTTGCTGACATGAAAGTCCACCTGTCTTATACTTTGTATCTCATACCTGACCACTCCACTCTTTGTTACGCTTTTTTAACATTGTGTTGTAGTTTGTGTGAAAGGTTACAGAGCCTATTTGTTTTCCATTCAACCATTTACACAGATGTTGATCTGTGACCTTGGTCACAGCAACACTGTTCCCACTTGTTTCCTGTTTCCAGTCCTCCTCCTTTCCTGCCATCCCAGTTTGATTGGGGCCGTGCCCAGGTGGGCTCGGATGAATGGTGGTCCTGAGGAGCAGTCTTTACAGTGTCCTGCTTTCTTTATGGGCCTGTGTGTTTTCCAGAAGGAGCCCTGGTGTCGGAGTGCATGTGGGTGATCTCACCACAGGATCAGGTCATGCATGTCCTGATAAACGGAGAAGAGATTACAGTTGTCAAGGGTTGATCTGCTGCAATCCACAATCAGTGCCCAGGGAGGCAGCAGCCAAGAAATCAGACAACACATTACATTGGGTAAATTCACTGCACAAGTGTCTGGACAGGAGCAGGAAAGCAGGGGCTGAACCCCATCCCACCCCCACCCCACCCCAACCCTCAAGACCGAAAGCAAGCCAGAACAAAAGGCGCAGGATAAGACAACCGGTACCAGAAAGGGAGAGCAGATGTTCTGAGTACAAGGGAACCCGCCAGAAGTCGACAAACAATTCTCGGAGTGGCCAGGCCCCATCTGCTGATTGCCACACATTCCAGACTAGGGGTCCTCAAACTTTTTTAACTGG